GAATCTTACTCTGGTGTAAACCTGCAGGTAGCTCAAGGCTAAGTACTGCCCATCTAAATGTCTATCTCCAATCTTTGATTTGTACTCCTTACAAGTCGCTTCCTGAACCCTTGTTCGTAGCCACGACTGTCGTTTTTTCGTGATTTGGGATTCAGCTGTCTCTAGATTTTCTGTCCCAGAATGGGGTCGCTGAACTGCGGGATCAAGAAAAGCCATATGTGAGATAAACGTATCTCCTTGCTGAACCTTGACTCGAACAGGCCACTTATGCTAGGGCACATCCCTCAGCGCCCAGTAGATTCACCAGCCGAGACAAGTGCACTGTTGAACCCCAGCCCTCCTTTTGTTTCAGCTAGAGGGAGGCTTTGTAGAAGTGGAGTGTCAATGTGAAGTATTGTTGCTGTTTTTTTTTTTTTTTTTTTTTTTTTTTTTCACTCTTTGACACTTTGAAATGTCAGCCTTTTTCCTACAGTCCTTGCTCATAGACCCCTCATCAAACATCCAAGACATAACGATTTATCTTCAAAAAGTCAACCTTTTCCTTGTGCTGGAGCTTTTGACTGATGGGCAATCAGCAGCACGTGCTTGCTACAAGAGCAAAAGAGGCAGCGACGCCCCCTTGGGCTGTTGAAGGTGCCCACGCTGCTCCTGCGTTATGACGGTGCAGCCGCTGCTCTCCTGATCACATGCTGCTGCGATGATGGGCGAAGCTGCTACTCGTACTGTGTAGGTGTTCTGTGGCTCAGGGTTGGCTCCTATGTGGCCATCCTTGGGCTAGAGATGTGGCCGATCCTGTATATCACCCAAATAATGGTTCAGGAGTATTTTAGCCTTGTTGTTTTCCATAAGATCCACAAGTGTCACGAAATCAGCTCTCTCCTTTGTTCTCTGTATATATCATAGCCACTGTCCGCCAACTTTCTCTCGCATAGTTTGTAAGGCGAGTTTTAGATATTGTATGATCTTAGATTGGAAGGAATATCTAGTTTCATCCATGTACTTTAAATCTTGCATAGCATTGCCAGAAGCAGCCTCTTAATACTTGCATATGCCTGAAGCGCTTGGCCATCATCCCGGTCTAATTGATGTCCAGTTCATTTTGCCTTTCCAAATAAGCGCTGGCGTTACTTTGCATCTTATCCCAAAGTGCTCCTTTAACAGCTGCTTGGCTTTCTGTGTAACCTCTTTGGGTATCCATATGCCAGGCAGCTGCGAACGAGATCTTTGGGCTGGCCGGAATTCTACTGGTCGAGAAGTAGAGCCTGTCTATGACTGCTAGCGGTCTTATCCTCAATAAGGTGTTTCGAAAACTCAGCATAAAGGACTGATATTCAAGTGGATCACCATCAAAGAAACTTTTATCTCCCATTGCTGGTAACAAGGTACGTTTCTGCTGCATAATGATGGAGGTCAGCAATATCTCTCTGCTCTCTGTATACAGTGTCGAGGTTATCATGGGTATTTCATTGCGTTGGTGGAGCTACTGCATTGTGGGCATTTGAAAGGTCTAAACTGTGTTGTGGGTCGCTGAGGCAGGCGAAGATTAATGACAGTCCTCTGAAGTGGTGGTTTTAGGCACTGCACCAATGGCGCATGAACTCCATGGCTGAGATTTCAGAATCCAAAGGTCTCTGCGCTTCTTTCTTTTCTCTCTCCAAGATAAGCATTCATTCCATCTTGAATTGATCATCCATTTTTCCTCCACGTCAATGCTTGCCAGAACCTTTATTTTAGCAGCAGATGCTGCAATTTCTGTGTCCAGTTCCATTCCCAATTTGTTCCAGTCTGGTTCTAATAGCAGTGCATGTTGTCTTTAATCCAGCAGCTCTGGCTAGCAGGGCAGCCTTTTCAAGCAGACGCTCTACGCTCTCTACATGCTGAGGAGACTGAAGAGGTTTTTGAGCTGCTTGACTTGTGTGAAACATTAGAGATGCTGTCATGGGGATGAATTCTTTGTTTGTGCAATTTTTCTCTTTTCCACACATCCATCTCTTTCATAAAATATTCAAATGTGTCATTTTTGGCTCAAACCAGTCCACATGATCCTCCTGGCTCTCTTCCTCTGATAAAGCTGTTGTATGGATTCATGAACACTGCACAAGTCATTTATATTTTGTTTGAACATTTCCAAAGCTTCATTCACATGTTCCACATTCCCATCCTCCACAAGCAAGGCCTTCATTTCGTTCATTTTCCTTGTGCATGCTCCTAATTTCCCACTGCGGGAGGCTTTGAGTGATTTTAACAATGTTTCTGCGTCAGCAGAAGTCCTGGGATCGTCCGACATTATTTTTTTATTTGTTTTTTGGCCGTGCGTAAAAAGACGTTGCGCTCCTTTAATGAGTCTCACAGAGCACGCCTGGCTTCATTTGTTGCACAAACAAATTCAATCACATTCTTTTCACGGACGATCCACAGGTATTTACAATCCTCCTCCAATGTGTGCATCGCCGTTATGATTTCCTCTTAGACTTTAACACGTCCGACATTCCATTCAATGCGTATACGCATTTATTCAATTTATTTACTCACGACCGGCCCAGTCTCTCAGCTCCGGTGTGTCCCTCTTTTCCGGTGATCCAAACGTTGTGTGTCTCTTCCTTACGGAGTTTTTTGACTACACTGTAGTGGCATCCAAGGTTTCCTTGTGCCACTATAGAGCGGGGTTGAAGACACGCAATCCAAAACAATAAGCAGCCGAAGGTTTTCAGTCAAAAATATGTAATTTATTAACAAAAAAGTATTGACTTAAATAGTCTCAAAATAACAAATCTTTAAACAATATTTCGGCAGTATGCTTTCCTATATAAACTAAACTATACTTTGTTTGCAGTCCAATTTGCAACACTAATTTCTGTCGGCAATTTGCGGTTTGCGGTTGAAAAACTTTTCCGCTCCCCGTCTCATCAGGTCTCCGAGCACGCTGGCTGTCCTCAATTACCTCACTTAAATACACACCGGAAGGTACACGGAAACAGATCATATTTACGATATAAAATAAACAATCACTTCATCAAAACATATTCACCACCGCAACACAAATCATTTTCCATCATTAAATCATTTATCAAATTATGAATCGAAATAATAACCCTGACTGCATTGTGGCTCCAACAGGTTGTTATGCTGTATCACAGGGTGCTGACTCCAATCTTCAAAGTAATTTGTTCTTTTCAATCTCTCCTCATTACCATACAAAGTGAAGGACCTTTTCTAAAGTTATTTCCATTAAAGCTGTCTGAAGCCCGGCTCAGCTAGAGAGACACAAAGACTGTATTACTCAAAGCTTCAGAAACACAGATAAAAGTTCACAAACCTGTACTATTGTTCTGCATTAGTGAGAAAACAATGCTCATTACCTACCAGTAAAATGCTTCTAATGCCACATAACAATGACTTAAGTGGGTGGCTCCAGCTTAAGATATTTCCAAGGTTTTTGTGTTTTATCTCCACTGTAAAGTGCTCTCTTCGTGAACATTTGAATATGGATGTCAACTCGTTTTTTTAAAAGCACCACAGCTGCTGTTCAGACGGCTACTTTCCCTGTACCCAACATGATGAATAGAAAACAGAAGTGTTTTGTCGCATAGGTCCAAACGTCCAAACACGTCAGTGCTGTTATTCAAATGAGTCTGTATAAGTGCTGGAGCCTCACTTACCTTGCACTTTGCCAAGAATGAGTGATTTGACGCTGTTGAATTCCACATCAGATGTCAAGTTGAAATCCTCTCTGGTATTCTGATCGACCTGAAAGATAATGTACAGGTATGTCACATGTTTAAAAGGTAAAAGCTTTGAAGATAGAAAGCAAAGAGAAAATAGCAAACAACTTTCAAAGACAGATATATTTATTTAGCATTTATTTAAATGATATTTTTCAGGCTTATAGTTATAGCTTGGAGACAAGGCTAACAGAGGATCACAAGCAGCAAAAAGGAGTTTAACCAACATGAATGATGAAAAGCTAGCTGGAGACTGAACCCCTGGTCTGACCTGAATATTGAAATAAGATTCAACCCAAAAAGCTGGACACCAATGGCCCCATGAGATGCAGGGATTCACAGTAGCAGAGCAGATAAGTGGAGCAGGTTGTGAGGTGATGAATGCCTCAGAGAGAGACACTCTTTTAATAAAAGAGCTTGTGATGTATTGCTTGCAAACAAAGAGATTGAGCCTGAGCGAATCATTTATCAATAAGACATCTGCTAATGTTGAAGTGGAGCCACAAAAAAGAATAACATTGAAACAAGCTTGAAAACAAACAGGAAAATTACCATTTGTAGACCGCTTTGTTGTGGACATGTTGGTGATTTTGGGACCCACTGGCACTGCTGAGGGCATTTTGATTTTAAATCATAATTCTTTCCTCTGATAATAAAAAAAAAGCTGGCTCCTGGTTTGTGTGTTTTGTGAACTGATGGTCATTTACATGCTGTGTTTACAGAGCACAGCGGAAGATTTGAGTGAGAATAAATGTGAATGCATAGCCAATATTTGTTACTACCTCATTACTTTAGTTTTTTATGTCCGATTATGACTTTAGTTTAGGATGCACCTACAAGTACTGTATGCCCAACAATTCCTGTTAATGAGTATTATCCCAGTTGGGTCATATTTTGATATGACTGCATTGAACACAAGTAAACTGAACCACTTAATTAATCTAGAGTGGCAAAATGCAGCACAGTGTCTTAAAACAAGCATTTAAAATAATAATATAACAACCAGCCTCAGCTCCAGTCAGTGTTCATATGCACTCGTCAGGTGCTTTAGTGCAGTGGGCTCATTTAACATAGTAATACACAATGTGGATATCAGTGTGACATATTTTAAATATTGTGTTCGGTGTGTTACAGTGTGACATATTTGTTGCAGTAAGTGTGTGTACCTTCACAGAGACGATGTCTGCCTGTCTCCTGATGATCACCGTGTGCAGACGTCCATCGGCCAGGTCCGTGACTCTGCTCCTCAGCACCTCCACGTCTCGGCCGCTGTGTAACTTGTACCACACTTCTAACTCATCTTTGAAAACACAGCACCACAATGCAATCTTACTCTTTAAGGCAAGTAGATTCAGCATCAAAGATAATACTGTACAAGCATTAAAGTGTTTTCATTTAAGTTACGTTTTTATTAAAACATATATTGCGTTCTTGAAGAGCAATGTCTATTAATTATATTTTACATGGTTAAACAATGTTGCTACACGTTATAACTCTTTGATAATTAATAAGCACTTAAGCCTCCAAAATGTCCTTATTCTTGGCTTAGAAGACATGTATTCACTCCTTCAAATAAAGCTTTCTTTTCAGCATACCAGCTGCTGAATTAAGAAGATAAAAACCATTACATACTTTGAGGATTAAAGCTGTATCTCTATGAATTAGACTCCATGATATTAAATGAAATGTCCCCCTTTTTTATAGTCTTACACTTAATACATTCCACACCACTGATCTAATGTGAATACAGAAATTACAGATGAGCAGAAATTCAATTATTAAGATTTTACTTTTCCTGTGCAGCGGCTCAGGCTCCTTTTACTGCAGCAGCTATATAAGAAACATGAGAAAAGTCTTTGTGGCGCATCCAAAAGAAAATTCTCTCTGGGATTTAATTAGATACTTTGTCAAGTGTGCATATGCCTGATGACGACATGATCATCACTTAAAACCTGCTTTATTGTTTGTATCTTAAACCTAAAAGATGCCTTGTTGAACAGCAGAATTTACACCAATATTTAAAGAACATAACCTAATATTTGAACAGATGCCACATTATATGTTCAACAAAGGTTTCTGTTTGGTAGACAATGGTTTGTGTTCATTATTACAACAAAAATCTCCAGCACCTGAACCTAACTTCAAGCCATAATTACAAGTTAAATACACGGGATAATGGCAAATCCTATAATACCCCGCATTTAGCATTGATTCCTGCCAACTGGAGCTCTACAGTAAAGTGAGTGAGGAAAATTTGAACTCAATAAATAATTGCAAAAGGAAAAACAATTGAAGGGGAACCCCTGCTAAAGGCAGAGTTATAATTGAATAGTGAGTGCACCAAAAGTATTCCTTTTAACCTGACACCGTACATAACAAATCACCTATTCTGCGTGGAAAAGGAAGCAGTAGTGTCTACAAAACTTAATGCAGGGGGAGAAAGAAACGGAAAAGACAGTAAAGTTTAACCCAAGCCAATGCAGGAAGGATAAAATTGGGTCAAACCAAAAGGAAAGAAGGAAAAAGAGGTAATTGTCCCCCTCACCATGATTGTTGATGAGCAGTGCCAGGTACTCTTTATAGACAGAGTTGACGTAGAGCAGAAGAGCAGGACTCTGAACTGTCCTGAAGATCAGGGAGATGTTTTCTCCTCTCAGCGTCACATCAGAGTAGATGGAGGAAGGCCAGGCACTGCTGTTCCTATTCAGCTCAGGGGGCTCCTTCAGGTTGTACGTGATGGATGTTGACGACTGAAAGCTGGCCGATACCTCTGAAATGTAGAAAGTTGACCAATGAACCTATGGCTTTCGGACTTGTTCTTTGCTGCCCAAGTCTGCATTGCATATGTAATGGGACAGTCTGCTTGATTAAAGGTCAAACTGGAGAAAAGTTTGTATATGTTTAATTTTCTGGAAAAATAATCAAATGTATTTACAGTTGAAATATTGTTTATTTCAATCGTATTTTCTAGAAGCCTGCTTCCTTTAAACCTACTACTGTACAACGTTAAGCATACCAATATTTTAGCAATAGGACTTACTGTAAAAGCTTTTATTTTAAAATCCAACAGTTTCTGATCTATTCTCTTAATTTTACGCATTAACCGGTTAAGTGGCTGTCTCAGAATTTCAGTTAATTGTAATTTAAATACTTTTTTTTGTGGAGTTAATTAAGAAGGTAAGCCTGGCTCAACAACATCCGCCTATAAGGACAATAGTGTTGTGTGCCAGCCTATTCCTTGGCTCACTGCTGCCATTTCCAGTTCAGGTTGATAAACATGCAGGTGGTATCCATCTTCTCTCTACCACTCAGCAAGAAAGCAAAAAAAGGTATTCTCCAAAAAACCTTCCTAAATCATAGTCCCCTTCTACAGTACAGATTGAGGTTAAAGTTATGTTGCCTTTCATCACCGTCCAACAGGCCCTTGATGCATCACAGCGGCATGGTGGGCCAGAAGAGTCCTTTAAGACAATCTTCATGCTTGACCTTCAGGACAGAACAGACTCATTATGTCTCACTCACAACGAGCGTGGAGAGGAAGCTGTGCAGACAGTGATCAAGAGAGAAAGTCAGGGTCAGTGTAATGTCTGCTGACTGAAGGATCCTCTACAGAAAGCCCACTAATCTTGTCTCTCTACTCCTCTTTAAAGCACCAGGGATGGGTCATAAAAAGAGTTGCATGTACATAAGGCTGTGAAATAATTCTCTATTGGCTTGCAAATGCATCAACACTTTATGCACTTTAAGAAAACAAAGTTTTGAATCTCTTTTTTATTCTTTTACCCCATTAATTTATGGAGCAGTTTCCGAGCACACAACTCACTCTGTCCTTCGTAGACCCAAACATATAATGAACTTCATGCCTAACGCCTCTTATATGCACAAGGAAATGAATTTGTCATTGCAACTCTACGAAACATTAATGCAATAATTTGAAGTCGGAAGCAGGATTGCTTTAAAAGTGAAAGATGTTATCAGGCTGTATTTCAGATTTTTTTATCCAGCGTGTCAATCTGTCCATCATATAATTGGATCGGTCTGGAGTGCTAGATCTTAACGTATCTAGTGAAACGTTAAAGGTCTGAAATGAAGTTATCTATACCTATAAGAACGTTTGTATTACTAGTAGCTTCAAAATTAAACGATTAATAAACTGATGTCAAGGCTCCAGTTTTGCATCTTTGTATTTAACGGCAGGAAGTCTGTGTCTTTTTTAATGTATGTACCTTTATGACAGAAGGGTCCAGTGTACGCCGACTGGTTACAGTTGCAAGAGAAACCGCTGTCTCTCTCCTCACAGCGACCCTGGTTCTGGCAGAGAGAGCCATAGCTGCTGCAGTGGCCCGGGCATCCAGGTCGGACCCCCGGGGTGATCTTTGCCCTCTCCTCCAGATCCAGAGTGACGCCGTTCAGCTGCAGAGAGCGGATGCAGCCCAGAAAGCCTTTCTGTCTGGACGCAGTGCCTCCTGAAACACAAACAAACTCAAATGATACACTAGTACTAAGCAGCCAAACTAGAGCTTTGAACGTGCCCCAATCCTCACATTTTCAAGAGTGTCCATCCATTTTCCTTTTATCATCAAGCCAACACAAATCTATGGTTACAATAACACAACTTATATTCACCTTTACTTACAGATTCAGCCACCTATAATTCCTCTTCTTATCTTAGCTAACCGCTCAAAAACCTTTGCAAAAGAGGACCCAACAAGATGGCGTAATTCAATTGTTCAGTGGGACTTCTAAGAGTAAAAAGGCAATGAAGACTAATGTATTGAAATATGAGGTTTTTAATGCTTTATTGTGAGGAAACTTAGATCAGTGTGGAGTGTGAGACTGTTTTAATCTTCTGCTAATAAACATATCTGGTGAGGTGCAGAGGCTTCAGTGGATGCATGTTGTGTGCTGCATGTACGCCATCATTTAGTGTATTATGGTTGACAGGCACATTTTGCCACTGCAGCACAACAAGGTCTACTCTGCAAGGCACTGAGACATTAACACACTGCCTCTGTCTGTAGCACTATATTGGCTAACTGCGTGGCTGATGAGCCATCTGTTGTCTCACATTCATGCTTTCCACGAACATGCAGAAGGAGAAACTCGTCCTCCTTTCACCTGACAACTAATATGCTTATAGCAACCGCAAAATGACATCTCTCCAGGAGTTCAAAGCATTCAACGTCTTATTTTGGATCCACAAATGACAGTTGTGATTCTTCCTGCAGAAAGGATTTGGCAGGGTATTACTGTCACAGTTTGAGTCTGGAAAGCTTCACATGTTCAGTCAAAGATGCTTTTCACACCACTTAATCTCTAACCTGTGAGGCTCCAGGCTCCTTCTGCAGAAACAGTTATAAAACCCAGACAGCTCATTAAGAGAGAACCAGAGTAGGAAATGTAATTAAGCATTTTATTTGGCTCAATAAGATCAAATGTATTACGCATGCACAGCAAACGTTCTTGTGATCATTTATATTTCACCTTTTTATCTTTGATCCAGACTCAGCATGCACCTGTTTGGAGTGTATCTGTGTTTTGATTTTAGATACGTAGTGAAAATGTCCTTTGAAGAGTGAGCATTAATTCATTGATGAATTGAGGTGTATACAACCCTGTCGTGTTTACCTAAACCAGGAAATCCTGAATTGTGTCGCAATGGTGTTCATTTGTTTTGTGCTATTAAAAATGTACCATGCATGGTACCCTTTGCCCTCTTTCTTTCTTCCAGAATCATTTCCAGCCACTGGCGTCTCCAAATCAACAGCTGGTTACCGTTGTTGAAGTCAGATCGCAAATAACCAACACAACATTTAGTCGCCCAGAAATGTATGCAACACAACAGACACTATTGGTCACTGCTCTCATCGCTTATAATCAGAAATGCCAGTAGGCTGATGTCAGCAGAGCACAACGCTTGCTCAAACCATACCCATCTTTATATTGATCTAATTTACGAAGCTGCAAAGTTTTAAACTATACCATCACTGTCATGGCTGTTAAAATACTTTGGCTTTCTCATGTGTTCATCAGCCAACACAGACACCAAGACAATACTATAATTTAATAATTCAAGTACTATTTTAACTATATCTCGGTGTGTGTAACATTGTGTTAACACAATTAATTCCTTCCTTTGGCAGTAAATTAAGTTGAACCACAATAACTTTGTGTCACATAAATTCACCCCAGGCAATATTACGGATAATTAATTCAAACTAACAAATACCCTGTTTTAATAAGTCACACAAGGCAATTTTCGATATAAAAAAATGGGACACACGCAATAAAAAGGTCTTTGCAGTGTTGTGAATTATGATTTCATGAAAGGGAGGCTGCTCACATTATGGATTAACAATAACAAATTCTGGATCACTCCCTAAAACAAGAGAGTCGAGGCACCCACATGCATATTGCTTATCTGCAAATCAAGTATTTGTCAAAAACAAACCCCCTCTCCGAAAGCAGCCTATTTCAAAATCCCAAAGGATTTGCATTCAACTATGTTAATACCTCTGAAAACACCAACCAGGACAAGCGCTGCCCACAAAAGGAGAGCAACCTCACGGCCACTTCTCTCTGGCTGTTCACAGAGGATTATTATCTTAACACAGAGAGCCAATCAAAGCATTCATCCATCTCTCCTACCACTGTTTGCTGGTTGATTTTCACTTCAGAATGCGTGTTTAAAAATGTCCATAATATTTGCAGAAATATATCTCATAAAACAAAGAAAATCTCCATTTCCTCATCCACAGTTTGCAGGAAAGATCAAGAGGTTAAAAGGAATTATGAAAGTCTGTGGAAGAGACGAAGTAAAGACAAGTGAGCTCAAACTTCTGAAGTTCACTTTTTGAATCTGTATTTAGGGATTGCGGTACTCTCTGGAATTGTTTTAGATTAAATGTGCGGTTTATTCCTTTTGTGGCATAGACTTCGTTGCTGTCCAATAGCACATCAGTGAGCCATTCTGTTGCACACAATTTATGTTTACAATGGACACAGCCGTTTATTTATAGTTGTGTTAATCATAGAGTGTAAATAGTCCCCAACAAATGAACTAGTTGTTCCTGGTTTTCTGCGAAAAATCTACAGCTGTTTTAGAAAATGGCTGAGCCTTAAAATGAATAGTACATGTGACATCTTTTGAAAATAATTACATATTAAATAGACTTGGGGATGAGTGTCTCAAACAGGGTAAAGAAGAAGAAAAATATTCAGAGGAAATAAAAAAGAACTGACCTTCCCATTTATTGTTTTGCATGCTTCAATGCAACAGTTTTCATTACATTTTTCAATCAGTAGGACAATTTGGCGTCACGCAGGTGCAGCTTTACAAGAGTATACACCTCAATCAACAAAGTTATTTATTGTTCAATGTTTAGAAAGCGAGGACTCAGCATTTCCTTTTCCAGTGCAGCACCAATGCTTTTTACTCACCCAGCTAGGATCAGCAGCATTTTTAAAACGTCTCACCGCTCTCAGCTCACCACGGGCCAGTTGGATTATAAAAGGACTCTAAGGATGATTTTTTTTACTTTTATTGGAAACAACCAGCTGTTGGTTTTCCTTAACCCCAACAGCTGCCCGTGTGGGACTTCTGTACTGCAAAACAACACTGTTTCCCCTTACTTCTGCCTATTATAAACCAAATAGCAAAGTGGGCAGAAGTAGCAAGCCTTACTTTGTAAAGTACAGTCCACAGGTTTAATTTATCTGAATAGCAGTCTACTTCAGGACAAGTTGCTGAGACAAAAATACTAATCACCAAGTTCCTTCCACTCATAAATTGCCAATTCTGTGTGCATATGTTGCTAGATCCACAGTCCGAGATGAGAAAGGATAAGACGTGACAGCAATTACCACCAGTTCTCAGCTGCTAATGAGGTCAACTTCCTAACACCATAAACAACTCTATCAAATGTCTTATCTTAATCCTTACTATGACCTTAAATTAACCTATTGTGCTTTTCACCTAAAACCCAAATGCAATCCTTTTAAGTTATTTTATTTTGAACTCCAACATTTTTAAGGCATTTGGGAACATACCAATTCACACTCTTTCCTCTCACCTATGAATAGCTGGCTGTTGAGCTGCAAATGAATTTGTCCGTCAGCTGGAGCTTCCTGTGTGGTGGCAGGAAACCCGTCCAAACGTAATGATGCTTCCTTCACATTTCGCTCTGCTCGCACGCTGTGCCACCGGTTGTCGTTCAACGGCACGCTCGCCTTCACTCGCACTTCCAGCGGCCCGTTTCCCACGTCAAAGGAGAAGACGACCTCTGAGGAAGCTGGAGAAGGAAGGCAGTGGTCGGAACATTAGATCAGATAAAGTAGGAGAAAGAAAACACATAAAAGCGTGAGACGGTTGAACACAGAAGCATTTGGATGCCTGGGTGATTGTCACACCAGCATAGTGTGTTTGACTTGTTCCCGCCAAATTCTGAAGAGCTGATTAACAAACCTTTCCAGACACTTTGAGATAATTGTGTCCTCTGAAGAGCGAGACATTGCAAATCCCTTATTTCCTTTTCAGACACGTCGTTGCTCTATCATGCACAGAGAGAAACACACTTTACACAACTCAGCACAGGACTGTGTGTAATGATGTTGACACTGTTTGTCATTTTAAGTGAGTTTTGTTTAACATTAAATCATTGGTGATTAATAATAAAACGGAGTGTCTATTTGCACCCGGTTGAAAATAGACACACGGCAGCTATTCGGCTTTTTACACCCACCCCAAAAAAACCCTGTGCTGATGGAAATTACTGTTTTTAAAAGCAAATAGTGTAAAAGTGCCTTTTTATTGAGTCTATTTGTTTGTTTGTGGGTTCAACTTAAAGCCACACAAGGGTGGGGCATGAAATCATTTGTATATTGTAAATAAATGTGTAATTGTGTCTTTCAGAATGCTGAAGCCCTGCTAAAAGACGCAGATCCTGCCAGCGTCCAGCAGGACATGAAGAGCTTCAGGGGGTACATATTAAATAGACTGATTGGGGCACAATTACATAATTTATTTTTTAGTCACTGTTTAATGTTGTGGTATTTAATAAATATACTAAAATTCATCACGTCTCATAACTTCTTTCCGACTGTTGTGGCAGATTAATTAACCCCCTTTCATCAGGGGGGTCTGCGGGACAAGTATTACCTTACCATGTTCACAATATAGCACAGGTGTTTTTTGTCCCTGATGTTCAGGTAACCTTACCAAGCAATCGTAGAAAGAGCAAGAAGAGATGCATACAGTACAACACACGGGTGTATATAGCTACAGTACTTAAAGGTCCCATGTCATGGCCATTTCTACTGATCATAATTCCATTGTTGAGGTATACTAAAATAGATTTATATTGTGCAATTTTCCAAAATCGCATCGGTTTCTCATACAGCATCTCTGTATAGTATGTGTATTCATTCTCTGTCCTAAACGGCTTGTTGGAGCTCCTGCCCCCTCCCCCTCCCTAGGAGCCCAGTGGCCGTCTGTGAGACAGCGAGACAGAGCGAAACCCAGCCCGAAACCAGCCCGAACACACACACAAACACCCGCAGCCTGGCTGGGAGTTTGTGTGTGTGCTCACTCACCGCCTCACAGCCTCACCGTGTCCCGCCGTCTCAGGGAGGAGAAATTGGCGGAGCTGCAGCTGAGAAAAGATTGAGTGTGTGTGTGGACCAATCCGCGGGCGTAACGGCTCCAAGAAAAAAATTGAAAAAGAAAATCTCCATATTCCAAGATCAATGGGAGGTTTGGGAGTCCCGGATGTATTCCAGTAATATCTGTCCTTCAATGCAAAGTATCCATTATCGTGGGCGTACAAAAGTGCCTCTCCGGTAGGCAGTTAATGGCTGGAGCAATCCATCCATCATGTCAGTAAACCAAAACATATCTCTGGCATCAATGTGGTACTGCCCAAAACCACCACCCTCAATGGATTATACCATCATCCGCTTTTCATGCTCTATTATAAAGCAACTGCACAGGAGACTCAACATAGAGGGGCTCTCTTTACCATCTTGCCCCATTTGGAGTAACCCCTGTCTTTCTGCAGGAGGAGGCACTTTTAGTAATAATATCTGGCAGAAGGCTGGTATTACTACAATTGGAGAGATATATAGAGACCAAACCCTTCCATTTCAACAACTCAAAAATCAGTATGGTCTCTCAGGCTCATCTTTTCTATCATATGCACAACTAGCATCTATTATTAGTACAAAATGTAAGGAGGGAGCCATGCCTGCTTCATGTATGAAAGAGGACCAGCGCCTCAAGAAAGCAATCATATCATCAGGTGTGGTCTCTAACATTTATAAATTATTATCTAGGGCTGCCCCGAATACCTATTCTCCTGTCCAACTGTCCTGGGAGCATGCCTTGAATATCTCTCTGTCTGCTTTGCAATGGAACTTCATTTGGAGGTCAGCTATGTTCTCTTCTAAATGTGTAAGATTCAGGATCATACAGTTCAAAATTCTCAATAGAGCTTACATCACCCCTGTTACAAAATCCAAGATGGACAATAAACACAGAGACTTATGCTGGCATGAATGTGGCAAGCGAGCGCGCTGTCAGGCGAATTTAGTATTGACGAGATCTCCTCTAGAACGTACCCTTCCTACACCTGATTTTATGGTCGTTGTCACCTGTATGGAACACTTTCTAACATGTCTTTTGCAAAGTGCGAGTAAACTGGTTAGTTTCCACATAATAATGAAAAAGCATACATTAACTCTCCTCATAGAAACCATAAAAACAAAAATAAATTTTTTTTTTTAAAAAATTGAGGAAAACAGGTCTATATTGCATGGACTCAAATCTCGTTTTTAGTACATTGTAACTGTTGTGTGATCTGTTTTGCCATTTGCTCCACTCCCCCCCCCCCCCCCACCTACAGATTCCTACATGAAGAATTCTGTCGACTAACTCCAGTAATGTGGTCTAATGTACCCACTCGTCGCTCTAAATAGTACCCTCATACTACATAGTAATTAGTGTCATAAAGTACTACTAACGGCTTATTACTGGTCCCAATCTATTCATACCGTCTTGACGGTCTTAGTCACTTGGCGTTAGGGGGACAGAGGGAGGGTTTTTAGGGGGTCGTCGTCTTTCGGGACGTGCGGGGTACAAGTCATCAGGTCTATGACGGGAGGTCGGGTACTCAGGGATCATTTCGTCCGCCAACACGCAGGAAGGTCAATTATCCTACTCAGAAAAAACACCCCGGATTTTGTGGGTTTACCAGGTCTCCGCGCTACGCATCGGAACCGTCCTAACGGTAGGACCGACTCTGGCGTCATCTGTACCGTTACCCTGTACATACCCTTTAATTGAAAATTTCTAGTCTGTTATTCCTATTAATGAAGGACTGGGTTTGTCAAAACAAATGGCGCACCCCGTAAAGGCAGTCTCATCCACCGTTGGTT